TCCGTGGCCGGTTTGCACTCCAAGGCCACGATTTCAAAGGTTGCAGGATATGAACACGTCGCATCTCCCCGCACGGCGTTCCTGATTTACGATGGTTTCTGCTCGGCCGAGCGATTGTGTATATTGAAACATAAGACTCTGGAAAAACAAGCCCGGGGATGAAGCTGCAGTTTTTAGGAGTTGCCTGCTCGCCTTCCCGCTGGGGAGGGGAGAGCAGCAGGAGGGGGAGCACATACTCGCAGGCTTTATTATCCTAAATTACTTCTGTGTGTAGAAAAATATTATGCAACCTTCGGAGTTGCATGCACGATCACTAGCAGCAGCTTAACATTATCTGCCCTTTCGGTGGATTAGAGACATTCTGGCCAGGCTGTAGCCCTGGGGGGTACAGAAGCCTCTCTCCACCGAGCTCACCCAAAAGGTGACTTTGGGTGAAGTTTCTCCTAGTTCTGCCAACGGGGCAGGAGTTGCTGTTTCTCCCTCATAGTGCCCGGCTCGCTGGGCCAGGCCCGTCCGTGTGCAGCCACCCGGGGCAGAGTGGGTGTCCAGCCCTCTCCGCAGTGGAAGTCCCACCCTGCGGTGGCCCCGGCCGTGGTGGGGATTGGCTCTCCGGGCTGGGGCCACGGTGCCGGGCAGAGCGCGTGCGGAACGAGCTGGAAGCGGAGGCGAAGCTCATTCTTGCAGGGCACGTCGAGCTTTGCTATACACGATGCCTTGGGCTTGGCCTCGGTTAGAGTGAGGAGCGAGCTGTGTCTGCTGCAGCTGTGTGTTCTCCAGAATTGTGTACGTGTTTTGGATGGTGGGAATTTGATAGCAGAAACATCCTCTCATTTAAACTTTTTGAGGATTTTTTTTTGTAGCTAGGAAATACTTCTTTAAGCAAAAAGTTTTGGGGCTCATGCAGTGGTGGTCTTTGCCTTGATCTGTTTGTGGGTGCGTTATGAATCTTCCTTTGCTTGTTATTGAGACTTATGAGACCATTAGTCAAAGCAGTGAGTGGGGTAAAATAAGAATGTTTTTTTCTTTTAATGTGTTAAAATTGGTTTAAAGCAGCCCTGAAATACGTAGTAGCTAACAGGATGGCAGCAGTCTTGGTCTCAGTGGGTGTTCGGTGTTTGCGCTAGTTTTGTGGCATGTTGAACTGGCTCTTAGTTTGTTAAACATGTTCTGTCTCAGACCTGACCCAGGTACGTGACATCCCAACCAAGTTGCCACATTTGACAGCAGTGTCACCTGTAGCACTTTGTTTACTTCCAAGCTTAGCTGCAGCATTAGCTCCTTTATGGTTTCTTGGTAACAGGCCTGATTCCTAATCTCTGGAAACAGTTACAGGAGCGTGAGCTCACTTCATGCTGAGTATCTTTTCTGTCACTGAAAAAAAGTATCCAAAAACCCCAACACCCCCTCCCCCCCCAAAAATCCCAGCAGATACAGCCGTTGCCCTAGTTTTGATGAGGAAGGTTTGCGAGGTGGATATTTGTCTGCATTGGGTTAGCCCTGGGAGTTGGCAGCTCATTACCCCGTACTGGTGGAGAGTGGGGGGGGGAGAGTTTGTTGCTGTTAGGAACAGGCCCACCACTGTGCCACCACTGTGCATATCCAAACTGTGCTGGTTCTCTGCACTACTCAGCTGTCCTGGGGATGAGAAAGATACTAGCAATTCCCATTTGATTCCTCATTTTTTTCAGTTGTCAAAACTCTGTGTATATCTCTGGTTTTAATGGATTCATTCTCAGGTTAGGAAGGCTATTTCATGGTTCCTATTGGTTGCATGCATAATGCACATCAAAGTTACTGCTGAGCTTAAATCACGTTCCGTCTCTGCTGTTCTTCCTCACTTACATGATTTATTATCTTTCTAAATCTGCTTTATTACATATATCTTCTCTAAACCTTCCTCCAGTGTTGTTCTTGCTCTCACTTTGGAGCAGCCCTCCTGATGGGCACAGAGCAAATGCAGCTTGAAGGTGTGATTTTTATTTGCATGTATGGATAATTTTTTAAATTTACATATGCATAAGACAGTTGTTAAATCCTGGTGTTTTCTCGCTTTGTTTTAAGAAGTTGGGCTTGAGAATACTGATTGACTTTAAATATGAAACTGATTTTCATATTTTCAGGAAACATTTGAGTCTTAAGTAGAGGCTTCTGTGCAGAGCTAGGAACTGCCTATGAATTTAATCTATTTTGGTAATTAGAGGGGAGAAAAAGAGTGATGTCTTCCATCCAGAACAATTATAAATCACTCACAGATGGTTTCAAAAGCAGGATTTTAACAGGTTCCTCCAGGTTATAACAGATATCCTGCGGGTCCTTAGCTGTGTTGTGACCTGGTAATTTTTTTGGGGGGGGGGCATATGATAATTTTTAAAAGAAACTTTTATGTAAACCAAGCTCGCTAAAATTTAAATGTTTCGACAGTGGAGATCTTAACATCTCTAATACTTCGGGGAGACTGTTTTATTCTCAGTACCTAAAGGTGCTTGCAGGTTATAACAGATATCCTGCGGGTCCTTAGCTGTGTTGTGACCTGGTAATTTTTTTGGGGGGGGGGCATATGATAATTTTTAAAAGAAACTTTTATGTAAACCAAGCTCGCTAAAATTTAAATGTTTCGACAGTGGAGATCTTAACATCTCTAATACTTCGGGGAGACTGTTTTATTCTCAGTACCTAAAGGTGCTTGTGCCTGTTTGCTCAGGCAGGATTCTCTCTTTCTGAGCCAGCACTATTAATGTTTACACAAGATTTAGACTTGAAAATTATTCCAAACTCCTGGCTGTGATTTCCCCCACGTCCCCCCTCTCTGGGTTGGTTTTGGGGCAGGAACATTGCCTGAGTATCTCTCCGTTTGTGACAGCCATGAGCTATTGCTCTGGCTCTTATCTTGTTAGAGTTTTATGTTGTGGGTTAACTGTACCTTGGTACAGCGTTAACTGTACCTTGGCAAATACAGCTCTTTTCCCTGTGATGGTTCAGTTATTTGAACATGGAGTCTAGTATTCCCTGAACACCCTGCAGCTTCGTGCTGTGTCAGAGAGCTCTATAAAATGGGGAGGGAACTGGAGGCTGTGGAGTTAGAGGAAATAGCTCATAGGAGATCAGAGCAGGCCGCACACACAGCTTCCTCCTGCCTTATCTGCAAACCCGTGTCACACCTAGTGCTGCAGGAAGAGTTCTCACTTGGGTTTTTATAGATCATCTCTGCTTGTGTGAGCAGAGAGGTTGGGCTTAGAGACATGGACATAATTTAAATCTGTCTACCCTTAATTAAAAAACATCTGGGTTTTTTTTTTCTAATTTAAAACCAGTGAAGACTGGGGTTGGGGGATGATGAAGCCTAAGTTGCCTTCCCTGATTTAGAAACTGTGTAAATCTGATGTCTTTAAATTTTTTTCAAGGATATTTGTGGTTTCTCCCACATCTTATGGTAGGGAGCAACACCACTGTTAGAAAAGTGTGTTTTTCCAGAACACTCCAAGCAAGTTTCTGAAGAAGTAACATTTTCTGAAGACTAGGAGGTGGCAGGCTTAGGAGTAGGGAGAGGTTACCGAGCTTGTGTTTGATCACAGGAGTATCACAGGTGACTGTTTTACTGCTCAGGGTTTGGTTTCAAGGGGAACATCTCACGGGAGAAGCAAAATTTGACATACCTCTCTGGAATACCATAGTTCAGCATCAGGTTCAGCAAGTGTAAGGAGTGAGTAGGAGAGGAAGGGTCGCTGTAAACTTGCCATGGATGGCTGCAGGGCTGCTGGAGCAGGCTGTGGAGTTTGGGACCCTCTCTCCTGTTCTGCAGAGGAAGTAAATAGCCTCTCTGGCACCAAGGCTGTAGTTATTCATGCGTGCTGTGGAGACTGAAGCTAATAGTTTTGTACTGGTCTATTTTGGGATAGCTTGCTGTCTGCATTGTTGTTAAAATGGAATACTCAGTGAGAGTAGGTTATACCAACACCCAACTTCCAAGGGGGTTTCTGAAGCACTGAATGCTTGTTGTGTGTGTGGATGGTAGAAGCATTAGGGATCCAAAGCTTTCAGCTGGCTGTAGGTGTGTGTGCTTGTGTGCACACTGTGGTTGTAGGGGCTCCTGATGGTGTGTGGGAATGCAGAACTGTAGGTACTGGCCCTGCCCTTGTGGGGCTTTTTCTGTCAGTATGAACTTCTTGATAAGAAAGGGTTGCTTTTGTATTCCCAACATCAGGAATTGGCCCATGGCTCCCTGCACAACATGTCTGTTCGAGTCATCTGATTGCCGTAGCCTAAAATATGTGCTTTGCTAGGCAACGGGAGTGGAGAGGTGAAGTTTGGGCTATAAACTCAGAGCAGTTTGCACCATCAGACACAGCAGTGCATAAAGGGATAGGCTGAGAGTGGAAAGAGGGGAAAAATTTGGCTTAACACAGCAAGGTAGGGGTTTTGAAAGGTTAAGGAAGTTACCTCTGTTTGTTGATCCTGGCTTGTGTTTGGCTCTTTCAAGAGAGGGCCAAAAGCTTGCAAAGGGATCATGGGTTTGCTCGATCATGGGGGGCATCTTGGAGCTGCTGCAGCACCCACAGCCTCAGGGCTTTCCCCTGAGTTGGGACAGACCCTGGTACAGTAATACCTTTAGAGTTTGAGTGTTTCTGTTAATAAACAGGTCTTTCAGATGAGTTCAGCAGTACAGAATGCCACTGCAATGGCTTCCAGAGGTGTGTGCTGTGCTCTGGGTGCTCCGTACGTCCTGTCCGTGTGTGCTGCGTCACTGGATCTGTTTAATGACCCTGTCTGGAGTGTTCAGATGCACATGTATAGTGTCAGAGAGACCCACTATATTGTAATAGTTGTGATAAATCAGTGCTGCCATTTACACTGGAGCTAATTGCTCTGTCTTCCACTATAGGTTGCACAGAGCATTGAGGATCATCATCAAGAAGTAATTGCTTTCTGCAGAGAAAAAGGTTTCCATGGTTTGGTTGCGTATGACTCCGATTATGCATTGTGCAACATCCCTTACTATTTCAGTGCCCATGCCCTAAAACTGAGCCGGAATGGGAAAAGCCTCACAACAAGCCAATACCTAATGCATGAAGTTGCCAAGCAACTGGACCTGAATCCAAATCGCTTTCCTATTTTTGCTGCTCTTTTAGGTAAGTGAAGATGCTGCTAGTCAGCCTTACCATTTCAGTTTCTATTAACTGTTTGAAAATAACTGTGTGTAATTTGACAGAGCATCTGGGGAAAGGCATCCCTTTGTCCCGGACATTCCTGCCATGTGAGGTGGACTGGATGGGTGTTGATGAGGTCAGACATGCCCAATTTGTAGAGACCTGTGAGCAATACAAGTTGTGGCTGTCTAGAAACAAAATTTGAAAGTAAGGATTGGGCAGAGCTCTGCCTAGCTAGAATGTTGCCAGTGGGTGGGGGGAAACGGGACAGGTGTGGTTCTACTAGTTTGGGTCCTGTATGGTATATGAGGTCTGCTGTTAATGGTACACTTTCCAGACTGGAAGTATGCTTCTGTCCTGAAGTCTGCCCAAAAATATCACCTATGGAGTTGAAGGTGTTTGGGTTGCAGGGACTTTTTTTTCCCCCCCCTCAGAAGTGACTATTGGGCAAATATGGCAGCACGTGAGCTGCACCAGAAGTATGTTGTGTAACTGAGTGAAACTGCACAATTCTGAAAGCACAGGTGCCTGACATCGAACCATTCCACTGGTTCTGGCTGGTAGTGTCTTAGCACTCCTGCTTCTCACACTCCGTGCTGTGGGGTCTGTAGGGAGCACAGGTGGGAATGTCACCAGTTTCACATTTATGCTTAAATGGGACAGTTTTAACGCACCCTATTTCCATAGCAGTGGTAGAGAAGTCATACTCTCTCAGATGGAAGAGTGAATTAATCACAGATAAAGTTGACTCCAATGAGTAAGATTTATTCAGAGCAGTGTTCTGCTTTTTAGGAGCAGCCATGTTCTTGATCTTGTCATGCTGTGCAAACAAAATAAGAAAACTGGATTTTCTTTTCATTTTCTCACTGACTGTTTCAGTAGCGGTATGTGACAGAGGAATAAAACTTCTCATTTGAAAGCTGTGAATGAAAGCTCTGTGTTACTGCTTTAAAATACTAGTATTCCAGTAGTCTTTGGTGTTAATTGTTTCCAGTCCAGGCAAGCCCCTTCCATGTTAAGAAGGAAAGAACCAATGGATGTTGCAGTAGAAAGCCACAAGTATTTGACTAGTCGGAGTTGGTTTCTGTTAGTGTGTGCTTTCCAGAGTGGTTACCTGCCTGCACAGGTGTGGGAGGGGTGACTGAGCTGCCATTGTGGGAACTGCAGGACACACTACTACTATTGCTTGGCTTTGTTCTGGAGTCTATAAATAGTTGCATGCCAGTTGAGCGAGTAAGAATTACTGGTGGAAAAGCAGTTTCCCAGTTGCAGGCATGTTTTATGGAATTCATGGGAAGTAGATGACAATGGCATGGCTTTAACTCATCACACAACTCCAGCTGCTTGGCCCACTGAAACACTGCTAGGTTATATCAACAACAAGTGAGAAAAGTTCTGGTAAAGTTTCTGAAGGCTTTGCAACTTTATGCAAGGAGCTCATGAGCATTTTTCTCTCCTGCTATCTTATATGGCAAAATATTTTTGAGTTTACCCTTAGGAGACAGAAATTTGAAGGCATTTTACATGATCGCTAGAGAAATGTTTTGTAGCTCTTTACCCCCCCACCCCTCCTAAATTGGTACAAAGGTTAAAAAACCCAGTTCAGCTACAAGTTTGGTTCTGGGTATTCCTTTGCATTTCTTGTGTGTGTGTATGGAGTATGAGTAAGCAGAATAGAGTTCATGGAAGTCAGGGTGAAAAGATAAGATAATCTGGAAGCCTTCCTGTGGTCAGGGCTTTTGTGTTATTTTATGAGTGAATATTAGGAACTCTAAGTATCTGGAGAGAGAAAGGGCTCTGAAAACAAACTGAACTATAAACTGAAAACAAATAGATACAGTTTGACTGAAAATACTGTCAACATGTTTTAACTTTTGCAGCCTTGCTAATATGGTAACTTTTTTTTAAAGTAAAATACTAAGTGCATATATGCAGATAGTTGTGTGTAGTGTGGAATGTGTTTAAATCATGGTAGCTCATTCAGGTCTAGATTTTTATATTTTTTCTTGAGTATCTGAGGGCTTGTCCAGCTTCACAGGTTATTCTGCCCTTGCTCCTGTGGCCTCTTTGGATCTCTTTTGATCCTGATAAGCAGAATGTTGAAAATCACAGTGAGAAGGTCTGAGTGAGTGCTTGGTGGCATGGGAAGGCACATGAATATGTGCTGGGCACGTCAGTGTAACTCCCTGTGCTGCCACTTTGTGTAGGAACAAAATGATGCATTCTGAAATAATTATGGTTAAGCTGCTAGTTTAATGTTTGCAATTCCAGAGGGCCCAAACTATCACAATATCTGTGATATCCTTGTTCAGCTTTAGGACTGCAGATCTGGTTCTCTGTATCCAGAAAACTCAAGTTTCTTTGTATTCAGATACTTCCATGTCATTAAGTCTCTGTTCAAGTGTTCCAGCAAAATATTTTTCTGACTGTATCAGCTAGGCAAACTTCTAAAGATCTGTGTCTGAGGATGTTCTGTGTACACTGTGATGGTTGGTTTGGGTTTTAGCTTGGTTTTTTTTTCCTTCTTCCAGCTTTTCCTGCAGAAGGGTTTTGTAGTTGTAGCTTTATAATATAAGGAGTATCCTTGGCATGGGTAGTTAAAATGTGGCCTGGATACTGCATCCTCTGAGAGTCTGCTCTTAAAAAGTTCTGTCCTAATTGCTGCTGATGTAAACAGGGAATTGATTTAGGTTCTCTTGTAAATTTTGACTCAAATACTTCAGAATGATTTAAGAAAAGAAAAACAGCCCAAGCTTGAGCAGTAGAAAAACAAACCCAGTGTGAGGTATAGGGCTGTAATTTAGTGAACTCTTTAGATAGGGCAGTGGCTTCAATTAGTATCTAATTGCTTCAAAAAAACCTAAGGCATACACTATAATAAGCCATTAAAATGGGAAAAATCAATATATGTTGAGGTTGTTCAGCCAGGTCAAGAAATAGAGGTTGCTTATGTAACACTGATCTCTTTCCCACTGTGGCAGCCCTTTGTAACATGTTTAGTTATGGAGTCTCTGTTTTTCACTAAAATTTGAGACCTACGTAAGGTAAGTACAGGCACCACTTCTTCTTTGGACCACAAAAGACACTGCTGCACTTCAGCATCCTAAATCCTGTGGTTCAGTGCATGGTGAGAATTGATTGAACAGTCAGAGCACCTTAGGTGTGTTCAGGGGGATGGAATTGACTGCAATGCCAGATGGAGACTAAGTAAAATTGGCATTTTGGTGGAAGGGAGAGTAGCCCTGACTGTTTTAAAAGGTAATTGTAGCACCTGGAGGAGTTGCTGTCAGTTATCCCAGAACTCTGTGGTGCTCTGGCTGCAATAGTTTTTTTTCAGCCCTGTATTACAAAGACTGTCTAATCATACCTTGATTAGATTAGTTGGAGTGTGGCTGTTATATGCTAACTTGTTGAATCTTTCTGATGTGAGGTTAAAGTTTAGCTCCTAATGAATAAAAATGATAATGTCCTTACTGGAGATCTCAGCAATGGGTGAAGTATTGATTGGACCCAAAGATTTGCCTCTCTGGAGAGCATCAGCTGGTCCCAGGGCAGAGGACAGCTCTCCTGCCTGTCACATAGTAAAGAGCATTAGGAGCAAAGTAGATGATTTTACAAGCAAAATATTAAGAAAGGAAACAGTTGTTGTAATATTAAAAGAATCTTGTGGTATTCTTTACGAGTAGATTCAAGATGTTGTTGAAACAGCGAAATTTCAAAAACATGCAAACTGTACATACATTGGCAGCAATGAGAGCTGTGCAGTCACTTCTAGGCTGCTGCTTCACAAGACCAGGTGTTGAAAATAGCCTGACGTTTTCTGCCAGAAGTGTATTGATGCATTCTGTTTAGCTCTTTGTAAAGTTTGGATCCACAGCCACTGAATTCCATCTTTGGCTGATTAGTTACATCTTGGATTAATTCAAGTGTTGGAAATGTTCCCTAGTAAGAATTGGTAGGTGAGGGTTTTTTTGGTGGTGAGGGGGGGATTTTGGGGGAGGGGGGTGTGTTTGAGTGTGATGTGCTTTAGGAAAAAAATCCAGTTGAGGTGAGCTTCTCTCTGGGGTATGAACAGCATGGTAAATGCTCTGTCCGTGGAAATAATATGATTTCCCAGTTCCTTTGCTGCTGCCAGCCAGGGTCCTGTCTGACCTGGGCAGGTCAGCAAAAGAAACTTCAGGAATTGGGAACCTGCTAAGTGTCATTGGAGCTGCCCATGTTTCTGAGGGTTAGATAAACCTGCCTGGTGCCTTGCTGCTTGACCCACACTGCAGGAGGGAGCAGGGGGCAGATTCCAGGGGCAGCTCCCATGGGGATCAGTAACTACAAGTGCTGGGATGCAGAAAGGGCTTCCCAGCAAATGTCAAGGAGAAATAGAAGGTGTTCTTACACAGTTGCACCTGCATTAGGAAATCCTGTTGAGGATTCCCTACTAGGGCACACTAGGTGGAGGAGGATGCCGTGTCGTGCCTGGCTGTGTTGCTGCTGGAAGTGAGCTGGTTTCATGGAAGAGTGCTCCTCACACAGAGGGAAGCTACTCCTGCTGCAGCAGCAGCATGCTAATTAGGCTTTTCTGGAGTAACAAAAAGATATCTGCAAGTTTAATCTCTATGTTAATCCTCTTGCTGGGGAGCTGAGGACTGATTGCAGATTTGTTTGCTGTATGTAGAAACTGTGTGTAACGTTTTATGGTGTACTTAAATGAGTTCTGCATTATGTTTCAGGTAATCATATTCTACCTGATGAAGATTTGGCTTCCTTTCATTGGAGTTTACTTGGTCCAGAACATCCACTAGCTTCACTTAAGGTACAAATTTAATATAACTAGGAGTAATTAAGCTAAAATCAATGCTACTGGTTAATCAGAACAGTGTCATAGGTTAATTGAAAGCAGCTCTGTAAGGCTCTCATGTTCAGTCACCCTCAAGGTGTACCAGGCCCTGGCTGCAGAGGATACCTGGGGTGATTAACCTTCCAGGGCTAAACTTAGCCTGTGTGATCCCCCTCAGTGCCCTTCAGCTGCACGAGCCAGAGCTCCAGCGTGGTTTGGCTTGGAAACTGCAGCTTCTTGCTCTCTTCTTTCTTTAAGAGGAGAGTGTTTTGTTTAGTCATGTTCTTCAGCTATCAGTAATCATGATCTGGGTATCTTCCTACCATCTTGTTTTATTTTCTCCTGCTCTGAGTTTGTGTGTAGTAGTCAGGTTTTGATACTTGAGTACCAAATAAGCTAGAGAATAGGTTGCACAAGGAAGCTAACATGGCCTTCAGTAGTTTCTTGGGGTTTTTTGAGACAAGTAACTTGTCTGATGCTCTTAGTTTACAGTACGTGTGTTCTGCTGCTTCATCACACTTGCCTTGTGCATCTGCCAAGCAGATGGCTATAAAAGGGAAACTGGACACACCAGAGAATTGGATCATAGTGACCTTTCTCTCTCTCTGCCACAACAGACATGTCTGTTTCTCTTTCTTCTGAGGTGTACCATGCAGCAAATAATCTGCTTTTTGTAAATTCTGTCAGACTGTTTGGTTATCTCTACAACAAAAATTGGTGGGGGTTTTCCCCTTTCTGTTCCTGAAGTTTATTAAGCCTTGAAAAGTTGTGACTTGTTTTGCCAAAGGTAGAATTTAAAATTGCAGATTTTCAGCAGAATTTTTAAGGCTTTCAGGTGCATTGCTTAGTGAACAGCTGTGACATTTGATGTTACACTCATCCCCTATTTTGCTGCCACTCCTGTGTTTAGAAAGGTAAGTGTCAGCACACTGCAGTGGCAAACCAAAACCTGCATGCATGTTTGCTGCTTCCTTGTAAAACTCGAGGTGACAAAATGAGAAGAGTGTGCCTGTATTTTGACTTTTTACTAAAAAGGTTGATATGCAGATCTTCTCACCAAGTGGTTGATAAACTTTCTGATGATACTTTTCTGTGGTTGAGGCTAAGTAGACTTGTTTGACAGCCGGTTCAGGCTGTGGCTTAAGACACCTTGGCCTCCTGGAAAGCCTCTAAATTTATACTGAATTCTTTGAGCAAAAATGAGATATTTGTCATCTTTGCTTCTAGATTTACATTTTCAGTGACAACACCAACTCGGCTTTGTAGCTGGTGTCCCAAGGAAGCAAAACGTGTGCCCTTGGGGGATCCCTGGTGTATTCCTTCTGCTGGCCAGTGTTAATCAGATCTGAAAGCAGTTCCTGTTTGGCTGTTAGAGGTTCTGTGAAAACTGCTATGTTGTTAGCAGGGAAAAGCCCCAGATGAGTGCCCTGAAAGAGGGAAGGACTAGCACAGCACAGGATTTGTTGAATTCCATGGCAGCTTGCTGGCCAGTTGTGGAGTGCACAGCCCCAAACGGATCATAGCATCACTGTCTCTTGCTGGTGGTGGTGTCAGAGGGGGAGATGGAAGGACACATGTCTGCAGCAAACCAGTCTTCCTTAGTTACTGGTCATGGAACAGCTGCCTGTTTGTTTCAGCTATAGTTTCACAGTGCTTATGGCTTGCAATGTTTCAGGAGCTCATTAATTGAGTTTAATTTCATTTTACATATTAGTGTGTCAGTGATGCCATCACAGCTCTCTCTAGGAACCTCTTGTTCACTGTACATGTGCACAAAGCAATATTTCTTGTAAATTTTATGAATACTTAAAAAAACTTAAAAGACATTTTTATTAGCCACAACCTGATGGCAAGAAGTAGTTTCCGAACAGTCCCAAAAAGTGCAAGGCTTCATGAAGAGTGGAAATGGGGGGAAGTTGTTGTGTTTCCCCAGGATGTCCTTCCTGGGCTGTGCTTACAAACTTCGCTTTGTCATGTCTATTTAGAGTTAAAACTGAGTGTTCTCCATGCTTGGGAACCAAGAGCTCTAATCCCACACCTCATTCAACTCAGGATTTGAAAAGCTTTCCCTCCTTGTGTAAAGATTTTAATCTTTTGTCTCTAGGACAGCATGGTCTTGAGCATCAAAGCTGACAGATTCCGTTCCAGTGGCCACATTTGTTGCTTTTCAGTGAGAACTGTGACAGTTAATAATGTACAATTTATTTCCTGCATTCTTCCTCAATCTTTTATTATGATGTAGCAAAATGGTTACTTTTTCTACAAGAGTAGTGAGAAAGTGTAACTTTGAAAAGAAACTCCCAGTTTTGCTGATAGAAGTTGGTGTGTCTGCTCGAGTGCCACCATGGGGAGGGGAACGAAGCAAACCCGAGGAACCTCTGCTTTAGGGAGGGAAATGAGGGCTGTGGGTTGATCCAGGAGCAGCTGAGTACAAATGGGCAAAAGGAAGGGAAATGGAAAGAATCCAGACTTCATGTCTAGAAGGAAATGAACCTCACAAGGCATCTCTATGTGCTGGATGAAAAGCCTTTGAGGAGACACCAAGAATGACTATCAGCTTAGCAGAACTGTGAATGTTGCATGGCCAAATTTTAATGAAGAGGTATGAATTGCTGTTGGTGCAAAAGGGAGACAGAGTCCATCCCCAGTCCTCTTGTCTGTCCAAATGTCCCTGTGCAAACAGATAACACATCCAATAGGTGTGCAGACCTGTGCCTGTGTCCTGTTACCTGCCCAAAAGCAGGACTCACTGAAATGACCACCTCAGGGACTGAAACAAGAAAGGAATTGATAGACTTCCTGAGAAATCAGCTGACTCCTAGACTGCTAGACTCTGTTTGGAAACCAGCATTATTCTGCTTTTTGTTTGTGTGCTTTGGGGTTTATCTTAAAGACAATTGGGTTCATATTCTGGGAAAGCTGGTTACAGTGTGGAGCTTCCAGATCAATAGATAACTGCCAGAAGGAGATTGGGGGGGTAGTTTCTTACCTCTGGCATGAATTAGTGCCTGTTTGGGAGCACAGACCACTGAAGAAGTACTGACTCTTCTTTCACTAGGTAACCTTAGGAACAAGGATTAATGCAGTCTCCCTTTGTGAAGAAGAGTATGCATGGGAACTCCATCTCCTTGATGGTTCCATCTCAGTGGCGAGGCAAAGAGAGATGCTTCCAGCAAGCAATCCAAAATATGCAGATTAGGCTCCTTCTCTGGATTGCTCTAGGAAATTCCTGTCTTTCTCTGTCTGTTGACTTGGGAGGGTGTCTACCAGGAGGACACTAATATGTGAAGTAGGTGCTTAGGTAATTGCTGCTGCTCAGATAACAAAGGTTGGTGCTATTAAGATATGCTTCAAGTAAGTACCTGGTCATTTGTTTGTGGTTTTTTGGTGCTAAGGCTCATAATGTAGGTCAGAAAGGACCTCAAGAAGTCATCCAGTCCAGTCTTCTGCAAAAGGCATGCTCACCTTGAGGTCAGAGCAGGCTGCTCAGGGGCATTGCCTAGACTAGTCTTGGAAATCTCTGAGGTTGGAGACTGCACAGCCTGTCTGGGCAGCCTGCCCTGTGGTTTGACAGTCCCAGCAGTGAAGGTGCTTTGCCTTGTATGTGGTCTGAGCCCGTCTTGTTTCAGGCTATGTCTGGTGTCTCTTGTCTTGCACAACACACCCTGTGAAGAGCCTGTGCTCTGTGTGCTCTGTCACTTTTCCATGGGCACTGGAAAGCTGCCAGTGGGTATCTCCAAAGCCTTGTCTTTGCCAAGCTGAATGAGCCCCATTCCCTCAGCCTCTTCCCATAGAGCAACTGCTCCAACTCCTTGACCATCTGGTTGTCCTTCTGCAGAACCAGCTCAACAGTTGTGACACCTGGCTCGAGCCCCAGACGGAAGGCAGTGCTCTGGAGGTGATGTGCCGCGTGCTGAGGAGTTAGATCCCTGGATCTGCAGGCTGTGCTCCTGCTGCACAGCCTAGGGTGCTGCCAGGGCAGTCCCTGGCTCCTGTTCCATCTGCTGCCTTCCAGGAGCCCCAGGTCTCTCTTGGCACACCTCCAGCCTGCAGAGTAGCCAGGGGTTATTCCTGCCCAGGTGCAAGGCTTTGCTGTTGTAGTTATAGGATTCCTGAGGGCTTCCGTTGGCTCATCCCTCTGGCTGGTCAGGGTGTTCTGGATGCCAGCCCAGCCCTTGGGGTTGTGTGGTGTGCAGGGCTGTCACAACGAGGTCTGTCTGTATCACACCTTTGGCTTGTGTTTCTGCTCTCCCCTTTGTTTTCTGACATAATTCTTACTCCCCTATTTATATTTGGTTTTCCTGATATCCTGTGCATACAAATTGTTAGCAAACGACATTGTGCAGTGTGTGTTCTTGTTACCATGCAGAAGGAGAAAGAGGTCAGTTTGCCAACCAGGATGGAGGGAGGAGGAGAGAGAATTTTTAAGTGAATAACCCAATCTTTGGGGAAAAGCTGAGCTTTGCTGATCTGAGAACATTTTAAGTCATCCAGGGAACTTCTTGCCTCTTCAGAAAGCTTGTCATTAGATCAGATGCTCTACAAGCTCCTAAGATGAAATATTTTCAATTTTCAAAGGATGATACAAGATCCAAACAATTTGGATGCCATCTCTAATAGGGACTAGTAGACAGAAATAACAAAACTCAGGCAATTTGTGTAGTATCCTTCAGATCTTCAGTCTTTTCTCTTGCCAGGAAAAAGACATGTTCCCTATGTGTTGCCTCAGAGCAGCTGAATGTTCGAGGTCTCTTTTTAATGGTTTGAAAATAAAACTGAAGCAATTATCTGCTTCCAGCAGGCACAGCAGTAAATGCCTTGTTGATTAGCTGTTAAAGGCTGTGCTTCCTGGAGACAGTGGGCAACTGGGGTGTTCCCAAGGCTGGGGAGCTTTTCCCAAGTGTGGCTTAGGTGCCTTCACTGTCCTAATCATCCCGTGGAGTTCTGTGTATGTGAGTCTGTTCTCTTCCAAAAAAAGCAATTTTGCAAGGTTATTTTGCCAAACCCAAGACATTTTTGTCTTGTAGCTTCTGGGTTTATAGTGTTGCTCTCTACCTCTTGCTTTGACAAATACCTCTGTAGAACTCATGGCTTTCCACCACTTAATCTTTTCAGAGTGCACAAATAGGTGACTTGTGATTTTTGCCACTGCTCTGTCACGAACTGTAGGAGTCCTTTTGCAGATAGCAGAGAAACTAGGCCCTTTCCAAGTGTCAGCCTGCCAACCCGATCCCCTCCAACTGTGGGATCCACCCTCATTATTGCCTTCCAAAACTGATGTTCTGTATTGTTGCTTGTCTGAAACTTGTAGAGGATAAGGAAAAAAAAACCATCTAAGAAGAAATCTTTCCTAATGAGAGGTTGTTAAGACATGATGCTGGTTTTGCTGTACAATGTTCTGTGCACCACTAGAAGTGAATGTGAACCGTGAACGTGTGCTCTGTAAGTGAATTTTCCCCATCCCTGCCACACAGTAAGCTTTAGCTTGTATTTTACTGTACACAGGATTAGAAACATTCTTTATGGTTCAGTGCAAAATCTACAGTTCCAGATTTCTGGAAAGTTCTAAAATGAATAGAAATCTTTCCTTCTTTAATATCAGGAAAGTACATCATATTTCACCATTTTATGTCTGCCTTCTGTGTAGTGTAGGTCATGACACTTGTAGTTTTGAGGGTGTTCTCACATCTGCCCTGGATATCTTTGAAGCAGAAGAACAGAGAAGAAAATCAAAATACCTGAAATGTCTCTGGAGCTGTAAAACATGCTTTCAGAAGGTCTTGCTTGAGGAATTAAGAATACACTCCAGTAAGGTCTTGAGGCTGTTTAAAGGCAGCTAAATATGCAGTGAGCCCTTGATAGGTCTCACTTGAGCTTCATCCTTCCAGGGCCTGAGCTGAATGTTAGCACCAGAGTGATGTGATGTCTTCTCTTGATGCTCACGTTATGTGGTTTATTCAATATTGCCATCCTGGAGGTCACATAAATTACTGGGAGATGGCTTACTCCTGTCATCCACGGCATTTCCAAGCAGAGATTGCAGGAACACTCAGGAGCAGCACAGGGTTTCTGAAGAGCTCTGCAGAGAGCACATCCAGCATGACACAGCCGTGGCATGATTCAGCTGCTTTAGAGATGGATAATTGTTACACATGCAAGTAAAATGGGAGGTGTTCAGCAACCCACTTGGATCACCAGGGAGGAGAAAATTGATTGCTTCTGCTTGCAAAATGGAGACAAAATTTAATCATCACTATTGGACTCTAAGCTTACACATGAGTGTGATCTATGTTTCGTGGTGTTGTGTGTATCCAGAGAGGCACACTAGTGAAAATTTAGAGTTTAAGATCTGAAATAGAAGTAATTGCCACTGACTGTACTGAACAGAACTGTTCTTAACTGTTCACTTTTCACAAGGGCCTGGAGTCGCAGGACATGAGGAATGGCCTTAACCTGAAGGAGGGCTGGTTTAGATTAGACATTAGGAGGAAATTCTTCCCTGTCAGGGTGCTGAGGCACTGGCACAGGTTGCCCAGAGAAGCTGTGGGTGCCCCAGCCCTGGAAGTGTTCCAGGCCAGGCTGGATGGGGCTTGGAGCAAAATGGGCTAGTGGAAGGTGTCTCTGCCCATGGCAGGGGGTGGGACTGGATGATCTTTAAGGTCCTTCCAACCCAAACCATTCTGTGTTTCTGTGTTTAATTTAGGCTCATAAAACGTGGAGCTCATCTCTGGTAAAGAATGGTATAGAATGAATTTCCTGATACTTGTAAAACGTAGACATTAGGAGAAGGAAATTAGTAAAATTGGGAATCTGGCAAAAACTCTGTGGTCTAAATGTGAATAAGGCAATCTAAGAAATTGCATAATAAGTGGATCAGATAAGGGCAGGAAAGAAAATAATCACATATGGTAGACTCCATATAGAATAAAAAGGGGTTGTGGTACAGGTTTTTCAATTTCTAAGACAGAGCCAAGGAAGCTTAATCAGAGTTTTGCGTAAATATTTCAGACAAGGCTGAACTGCAGTGTTTTCTAGTAAGGTCTGATCCCTCTGTGTAGAGTGCAGTAAGAATGTGTACAGATTTTTCACATTTTTATATAGTAAAAATAGGCCTGTTAAATAATCATAATGGTCTCTCAAGTCTTGAATCAGTGAATTTTGCAAATAGACAGATGAAAGGGTGTTAAGAGCAAAACCTTAGCTGACCCTATAGGCACGGGCAGAGTGCTTCAGAATTGTGCAGAGGTTCCAGCCAGGATTTTTAGAAATTCCTCAGGCTTCCTCTAAAATGTAGGACACGTATTTGGAGACCTGTCTCCTGCCCCTGAAAGCGTGTGCAGAGTGTGGCACAGGGGACAGGAGCAGAAGCTGCTGACACTTGAGGAGTTCCTCAGACCCAGCTGGCAGCACTGCTCCCTGCCTGGAAATTTGCAGTACTCCAGGATGGTTCCACTTTACCTGAAGTTTCTGTCCCCTATGTAGGATCACAGAGTGCAGTGATTCCCATAATCATAGGCTGAATAATCCTCATTTTATTTTCAGGAAGAACCAATTGAGTGTTGAGGTGCAAGTCCAGGGTTTTCAGGACTATCCAGGTCCCCTCGTTTCTCCATGTGGACACAAGAAAGGATCAGGCTAAAGAACTGAGTCTAGAACTCCCTGAAACGGCACATCCACCTGCAGCTGCTGGTCACTGAGCTGCAGGAGCTGCTTCTGTCCATAGGCCCTTTGAATATTGACCCACAAAGTTCTTCCAGCTCTTTAGTCTTATTACGAAGTCCAAAGTGATTCGCATATTTTCGGGTCCGTGGCCTGAGTCAGTGACCTGTGCATCAGTGGGAATTCACCATTTTCCTGATGCCTTGGGAAGGCTGAACCTTGGGCTCTGGGCCCAGGTCATAAACTTGAAGGCAGTTTTTAATATGTGTTAAAGCACAGTTTGAATCATTGGGAGGGCAGACACATCTGGCATTGGTTGGTGAAACATTAATGCTGGATATTGAAGTTATTCTATCAATGGAACTACCTTAAGAATTTAATCTAAGTCTGCAAAAAGAGTAATCAGCCCTGTCACCATGTTGACACTGAAGTGCTCCCATCGTAGCAGCAAGGAACCCAGACAGACATCCTTCTCTGCTGATTTAGAACATAAAAGAAAAGTCATTTCTTGCCTGAGATGTGACACATGCTGTGAAGCTGTATGTGCATGTTCTACTACAGGTAATGAAATGTGCAAAACTAATTATTAAGCTATGTAATCTTCAAATAAATTTAGACCCATTTCTGTAGCACCTTGAAAAGAAGTTTCCTTGAGATACTCCTTTTTCTTTTTTTCAACCTCCCTTTTCTGTGTACACAGAGACCTTCCTGTTCCCAGGGGGTCTCTTTCATCAATTCTGATACCACTTTACACCCAGAATATAAACTGTCAAAATATTTTCTGGCATATCTATGTGTATGAATGTCTGATGAAAATTAATGATGAATTAGATGAAGCATTTTGCACTAGAGGAACTATCCAACTAGAAAGCAGTAAAAGAATCAGCATTGTTGACCTTGTGTGTTGTTGGAGCTGATCTTTAGCCAGCAGCTGTTTACATAGAGGTGAAGTTTTGCATATATATATATAAATCTACTGTAGTTGTTTGAGTCATTGCTTAAGGTGAAGCCTTAAAAACAAGGTGGAAGGCCAAAGAGTAGTTAGATATTAAACGTGACAATGTGGTATTTGTTGAATGTATTGTCAATAACTAAAAGTTTTGCTCTCTGCTGTGTGCCTGGAGCGTGCGGGTGCCCCCATGGCTCATCTGGTGTGTTTGTTTGCACAGGTACGTGCTCACCAGTTAGTTTTACCACCGTGTGACGTAGTGATCAAAGCCGTAGCCGACTACGTCCGGAACATTCAGGACACCACCGATTTGGATGCCATAGCAAAAGATGTTTTTCAACATTCACAGGTAAAGTATAAAGCAAAATAGTGATTTGAGATTTTTTTATTTTTTTTTGACCCATTGTGCTCTACGTTTGTGTTGAAGAATTGCATTTGATAAGAACAGTGGTTCGATCAGTTGATAATGTGTTGGTATATGCAGTGGCTTAGCTCCCCTAATTCCATTCGTTCTGAGGGGCAAAATACTGCATTTACCCTCAGGGCTTTAAATTCCTGATAACCAGAAGGGTTTGTAGCCTGGCTCGGTGCACTATCTTTGAGAAAAGTGGTGCATGAAGACAACATGTTCAGGCTTTACCTTGCATGGATTAACATAGCATTTCTTGTGCTGGAGCAGCGCTGGCTGTCTTGGGGTGTCCATAGGCATGTCCATAGGTATCCCGTGACATGCTCTGCTTTAACTACTGTACAGCCCTGTGCTGACCTGCAGGTGCCAAACCTGGATGGACTTCTGACAGATCTTTTCCTTTTTTTCATTTTAGTCTAGAACAGATGACAAAGTCACTCGGTTTAAGAGAGCAGTTGCATATTACTCAGCAACTAATAAACCTATGCCATTTCATCCACCACATTACCTAGGTAAGTAATGACAGCAACCAGGATTTTCCTTCTAACTAAAATCTGGGATAACCCTGAGTCAGAAATATACTATTAGCAGGATCTTACAGAAATGTTTAATGCTCTGGCAGCTCTCACTGGAGATGAGGTTTCAGAAGGTTTTCATAGGATATGTGCTGAGGTTGTGTTCTTGCCCCAAACAGAGGAGAACAACCTGGACTGCTTTTCTTCTTGGCTATTGCAGCATTGCTTCTGGCACGGGGACACTTGAGAGAATGATACTGTGAGCAGCTGAGGTCTGGTCCCAGTCATGGGGATGGTTCCTGTTTCTAGTCATTAAAACATATTTCCTGTTTCTCACTGGACTTGCTGACATGCTCCCTTTATAGTCCTTGATTTTTTGATGCCATAACATACCTACTTGAACTGCAGCCACATGTTGTGACATTGCAGATTATGCTCAAGGCTTACAAATGAATTCTATGGTCACAGGATTTCCTACCCACACCCCATTCTTACTACTGAAATGTCATATGGGCTGAAATGTTCTAAAGATCTTCAGTTGCCATTCTGGTACACTGATACTGATTTTCCTTCTCCTCCTCTTGGGGAGTGGGGTGTCTTTATTTGACACCCAGAGACCTGCATTACAAGGCATTAAGGGTACTCTAGGTCAGATACACAAATGTCAGACAGTGCCAGCATTGTCTGTGTGACGCTGGGTTTGCAGCGCCTTCGTTGTCACATCTCTTGGGCTTTTTATTCTTTGAAGCTGCCTTTGATTCCCAGGTAGAATAGGAATGTGCAGCAGTGAGAGATACAAAGACCCTAGAAAAGGCAAGACAAGTAAAATAGACTTCAGAAGCTACAAAGTATTTTTATTAAAAGGCAAAACCGAATAAAACTGACTAAAAGGCATACGAGAGAGTAGTAGTGCTAACAGAACCAGAATAAATAAACCATAGAAGCAAAAGGACAAACCAGGTAACATTTGTGTCAAATATTGAGCACTTTCATGAGTGTTTGCTTTTTTCCTTGTTTTTTCCCCTTCTCTCTCCCCTCCTCCCCTGCAATACAGCAGCCAGACCGAATCAGTTTGGTATGCCTGGGATAGTGCCACCATATGTTCCTTCTCAGATGCTTAACATTCCACAGACCTCACTACAAGCAAAACCTGTGGTAAGTACAGCCTCTGCCCTACTCCTTGGGAGAGGCCTGCTGTGCTCAGCAGACTGAAATCCAGGTGGGAAGGGTGTAGCTAGCTTTTTTAGCATGGGCGGTCACTGTTGGAATTTTAAGTCTGGAACTGAAGAGATGCTACAGGCTCTGGTAGAGGACAACTTTTGTGGATGTTGGTGGCTGAGTTTTAATGGGTACACTTGGGAAAAGCCACTTGGTTAAAGAATGTATTTTGTTTTAAAAGCTCGTATATTAATTTGGCCTTCACTCAAGAGAGATCCCTTTATTTTAGGCCCAGCAGATGTCCAATCAGGGTGGGACCCAAGGCCAGGGTCCATACCCATACAGCCTCTCTGAGCCAGCCATCACCTTAGAAACAGGTGGAAAAAGTCTTTCTGAGCAGAACAACTACAGTAACATTCCTCATGAAGGAAAACACACACCATTGTATGAACGGTCTTCTCCAATAAATCCAGCTCAGAGTGGGAGCCCTAATCATGTGGATTCAACCTATTTTCCTGCCTCTTCTACATCTTCGTCCTCTGACAACGATGAAGGCAATGGGGGTGCAGTGAAGTAAGTTTCTCATGAGGATGGTTTCTTACTCAGCTTCTGTTAAAAGAAACTTGCTTCCAAAATCATTTACAAGTATCCTGAAAGTAAGAATCATAGAGTCAATCAGAGAGTATCTTGAGTTGGAAGGAACTCACAAAATCATCAAAGTTCCACTCCTGACCCTGCAGAAATCTGCAAGTTAGTGATGTGGTATAGAGTTACAAATATAGTTTTGAGTCACTGTGACTGCAGACACATCCATGGTTCACTCTAGTCACCTTGTTTCTTAGGCAGGAATCCAAAGCTAAATAACCTTGGGTGTTTTTCTGCTTCTGCCCTTATGTTTTATTTAGAGAGTGAGGTTTTGGTAAATGTCATAAAGCCTTCCAGTTCTTTACTTTGTATGAAAGAAATATTCCTTCTTCACAGTATAATTCATTAAAATTTCAGCAGATAAAAACTAAGGAACTTCACTGAACTTGTAGTGACTTTGGAAAGAAACCTGCTGTGATTGTCAGAAACTCACCCTTTGGGACAGTGACCTGTGAGCCCTCATGGTGCAAAGCAGCAGTGAAGCTGTGTTTGCTCTGTTTGCTCGTGTGCCTGGTTACTGCACTAGTATTTCTTAAGCAGCAGTGAGGCTGTGTTTGCTCTGTTTGCTCATGTGCCTGGTTACTGCACTAGTATTTCTGACTTCCCCCAGGTCCTGTATCTGTCATTGGCCATACAGTGCAGACTTTGATTTAATTACAGCTTCCTGACCTACAAGGAGGAAATGTGAACAGAGGCAGTTTGTGTTTGCCTTTGTCTGTTGGATGTAGTGATGTACAGAGTGAGAATCGGAGCCTGAGACCTCAGCAGGTCTGTTGGTGCTTCTGACAGTTTGAGGTGGTGTGTAACTGTACCAGTGTGTTACTATGTCCTGGGCTTCTCATGACAAGGCAAACATGGGGCAGGAGCATGTCCAGAAAAGGGAGTGCAGCTGGGAAGTGTCTGGTGCACAAGTCTGATGAGGAGCAGCTGAGGAGACTCAGCCTGGAGAAAAGGAGACTCAGGGGAGACCTTCTTAGTCTCTGCAACTACCTGAAAGGAGGTCATAGCCATGTGGGGGATTGAGCTCTACTCCCAGAGAACAAATGACAGGATAAAAAGAAACAGCTTCACGTTGTGCTGGGAGAGGGTTAAGTTGTATATTAGGGAAAATTTCTTCACAGAAAGGCTTGTCCAGCCGTGGCACAGCCTGCCCAGGGTAGTGGTGGAGTCACCATGCCTGGAAGTGTTCAGAAGTGTGTGGATGTGGCACTTGAGGGCATGGTTTACTGCTGAACATGGTGGTGGTGGTTTTACAGTTGGACTTGATGATCTTGGTGGTCTGTTCAAACCTTGATGATTCTATGATTCCACAGGGTATTATATTATAAACGTGCCTAGAGTATTGCATGATGGCTTGGACTTTGATTTCTGGTGCATTCTGTCACCTTTAAATATTATCATGTGTTTTGCTTAGTAAATCAAGAAAGTTTGCATAGATTCCATGCAGTGCAGAACTGAGAATGTGCCTGTGTTAGAAAAAATGATGTAAGGTGTATTTTAGCATTTTTGGTAGTGTTGCATTGTGCATTTTCTGCAATACATTCAGACCTTGAAATCTAGACAGTGTCATTTATATCATGGTTCGAAGACAGTCTTCTAATTGAGGAAATTCCTTGGCACAGTGACAAACATTTCAAAGTTCAATCAGGAATGTTTCCTGCTTGAACATTGTTTAGTCCTCATCATATGCAGCTTTTAAACACAATCCAAATGTTGACATAGTATAAATGAATGAATGTTGGTATTAAAGTCTCTCCAAGACTCTTACAAATGGACATTTCTAATACAGAACATTGCTTAAAATCTCAGTCTCTGGCCCATATTTCTAACCACAGACACCCAGGATTTATCCCACTGTCTCTAAACTGAACTTTAACATGATGTTTTTCCTTCTGTTGTCCTTCAGCCATGTCAGTGGGAACAAAATAGGCTGGGAAAAGCCGGGAACCCAGTCAGAAAGTCAAGCACGTGGAGAGCTGGGAGACCAAACCAAGGTATTTCCTGAGGTTCCAAACATCACGGTTCACTATTTGGTGTTAAAGCTTTACAATGAGCAAACTCAGAGGATTTTCCCTATTGATCCATGGGATTTACTACTTTGGCACTTTTTTGTGAATTACGAAACAGCAGCTTTAAAGTACAGTAAAAACTTTTCCAAGAATGTTGTTGTGTATATATAAAAATGAAAGTTAAATAGTGTGTATTAGAAAACACTGGATATAAACCAGAAAGAAACCAGTAACCTTGTTTAGCCCTTAGCTGACAATCTCACCCTCTCAGATGTTGGTCTCTGAATTTCCAGTAGTGCATTAGTTTGATTTTTAGGAAGGAATGTAACAGTCTGAGTGTCCGTGGGGTCAGGGTACACATCCTGTAACCCACAATGTGGTGAGAGCAGCTCTGACACACATCAGTGTTAGCCACCAGTGGAGGTGTATTAAAGTCAAACTCCTCTATAACTGCCTGGTATTGTTTCCACATCATACATATTAGAGTGGTTTCATGGCCCCAGTTACAGTGTACTGCTGCCTCACTAGGTAGGGGTGGGCTAGCTGAGCCCTTGATAAAGACTTAATAATGTTAAGTTTTTACAGGATTTCAAACCACTGTCAAATGCAGGATACCATGGTCTCTGTTCCAACTTTGATCCATGTTTGGAAAGGACATTCAGAGCATTTGTTCTTGATCTCTCTGTGCCTTTGTGGTGGAGCTGTACACCAACTGTTAATCATGTCAAAACTCAGTCTCGAGTTAGTTACTCTGTAGACAAACAGAACATTTTCCCTGCACCTTTGGCATAGGAATTCCAGTAAACTTGAGCTTTGTGCTTAAAATATCAAGTATATGATTTCATCCATCAGTGGTTATTATTTCTGCAGACTACGCCCCGAATGATAACTGTGTCTGCCTAGGGATTAGTCACTGTATGCAAATGCTGATTTGACCTATTACATTCCTTTCCTCTCTGCTCTCTGTGCCTCATGTGCACCCCTGGGTCCCTGCCACAGCCCCACGTGTGCCCCACCGAGGAGGGTGATGGAGCAGGGAACAGTGGTGCCTCCCTGGGACATGCTACACAGCTCTGGCTGCCTGCCCTTGTACACACAGAGTCAGAGCTGAACAAGCAGTGACTGAACTTCCCAGTAGATGGATGCACACAGCCTGACTTAAATGTGTCCAGTTTAAGGTATAAATGCTCCTGAGCTTTACTTGCCTGTTTTAATATCACACCACTTCTTCAGCCGAAGACAGTTGCATCTCTTGGGCACGACAGGAAGAATTGAGTATGTTTTGTAGATGAACTCATTTCCTAGAGCAGTGAATATTGATGATTGAAAAAAGAAGTGGTACTTTCTGAAGAATTTGCCCAGAGCAGCTATGGCTGCCCCATCCCTGGAAGTGTTCAAGGTTGGATGGGGCTTTGAGCAACCTGGTGTAGTGGAAGGTGTCCCTGCCCATGGCAGAGGGTGGAATGAGATGGGTCTTAAGGTCTCTTCCAACCTGTGATTCTATGAAGATTTCAACTGAGTGAGCTATGTGAATTTGAGGTGTAAGGTGCTGAAAATCCAGCACAGATCAGGCAGGTAGCAGCAATCTTGGCCCTCCTTTTGCTTGACTTAAATGTCAGAATTCCTTGCAGTTATCTCAGCGTGATTCTACATGGCAAAGGTAAGCTCATCTCATTTGGCTGGGTGCGTATTGCTAAAGAAAAAAAACTTATAACTATGGTAGTTCCTCATCTTAGGTCTTGGAATATTGCTGGAGCAGATCCAGGAAGAGCCTGTGTAGTGCACGTGGGGAAAGCACTGCTGTTTTGTGGGGATTTTTGTCTTCTTCCCTGTGTGCCCCCAGTAATGGGTTGATCTGGTAGCTTCTTACTGTGGCCTGCCTGGTATTGCTGACTTGGAGTTGTTGGGGTGGTAGAAGACAGGGACAGAAATCTTTAACCTGATGAATAAATATGTGATGCTGTAGCAGAGATTTAATGGAGCTGTGATAGCTCTAGTATAGATAAAAGCATTCAGTATTAGCCTGTTTTGTTGGAAGAGTTGATGTACAGGTTTTAACCATTTCCTCTATAGATTTGTAGTTTTACAAATGAAGTTGAGATTACCATCTCAATACTTCAGTAACATCCTTTTTGTGTGCTTAAAATGTCATCTGGAAACAATGTTGCCCTTTGATATTTTGCTGGAGCCTGTTTTTACTACCACACACCTTTCTGTAGCTTTTTGGAGGTTATGTGAACTGTTTTGTTGTTTATGTGCAGGTTTGCATTTTTTATGGGCCTGAAGCGAACAAACAGCTTTTTTGGGCCTTTTTTTTGTGTTGTGTTCTTTGAGATTTCATGCTTTAGCCATTTCTGTTTCAGCTTTGCTTTTCAAGTCTTAGGAAGTTACCCATATTGTGAAAATACTCACATATGGTGTATCATCAAGTGGTCAAATTCAGTCTCAAAAGTTCTTACTTTTACTGTAATAGTTTATAGACATGAAATTAATATGAACTCTTAAGCTAAAACCAGCTTTCAGTTTTGAAGACCAGGTTTTTTAGGAATGAACTCTGCTTTTTTGGGTAGTATCTGTGAGAAATTGACATAAATCCTTAAAATGGCTCATTCACTGGGAGATTTACAGTATATTTTTATGCACTATATTTTCCCCATGAGTTTATGAACTTCATTTCTAGACCTGGAATAAAATGCCACTTTAATCTGGCAGTCAGAAAACATTGCCATTTTGCCTTACAGTCTTCTCAGCCAAAAGAGTTGCATGTTTAAAAACCAGACAAAACCCAACAAAACATTTAAAAGGCTTTTGACTTCTGCCACTATGTATTTTAAATGTTATGTTATTGAACTATGTCCTTTTTCCTGCTTCTTTTAGAATTGCAAGCCGGGAGGGGATCTGTTTATGGAAATCTAGGTGAATGACAGACTTTGTGACTGTCAGTTAACACACCGAGGTGGGAGTACCTTGGAAATCCAGAGTTAAGAGGCCATTCACATTTCATTAAAAGGCCATCAGTTCCCTTCTATATTGTGCAGTTAAAAATTAAAGGAAATAGTAATTGCTGTTGCTGTTAATAAGTTAAAGCTTTACCATATTTATTTTTTGGTGATTTGTTTCTGCTAGCAAACAGTGGCTGAAGGTTTCCATTCTCTGAAAACCTTGCAGCAGCTTTGGATAATGTATTCTACACACTGGGGCAGTGTGATGTGAAGATTTGCTATTTTCATTGGGGGTGAGGGAGGAAATTTGCTGTTTCTCTTGGCTGATCCCCTGGTATGTTTCTGGACATATCCAAACCACTTTATTTTGTATGTTCTGTTACAGGCAGAAGGTTCCTCTAGTGCTTCTTCAGGAAGTCAGGCAGCTGATGTCAAAGGGAATCAAACCAGTAATCCACAAATCCCATGCCTGTTGTCCATGCCCACCAGAAACCACATGGATATTACTACCCCTCCATTACCTCCGGTAGCACCTGAAGTATTACGAGTGGCAGAGCACAGGCACAAGAAGGGGTTAATGTATCCCTACATCTTTCATGTTCTAACCAAGGTATGACATTTAAAAACAAGGTACTGTGAGATAATGATTCTGTGAAGATAATTGCCCTGGCATTTCTGGCTAAAGAGTATCAGACTTTTACAACCTTCTTAATGCTTTGAGTTCTGGTCCCTTTTTAGTCCTTCTAACCACTTTTGCCCCGTTTTCTCACCACCAATCTGGTCTGGTACATTGTTCCAATATATATGAGATGACTATAATTAGAAATGTTTACTTACAAAATTAATCTCTTTTTCTTGACTATATGTAGATATTTTTATAGCTCTATGCATGTGTGTATATGTCTCTGTGTGTGTGTGTGTTTATGTAGAGTCCATTTCCATCTAAAAATTCCTGCGTATGTGCTTTGGTGTCTGTGCCAAGTTTTTTCTATTTTCAGCATTCAGAAGAGCCGAGATTTGTTCTCCCTTCCAGTCTGATCCCTCCTATCACTGATAGCTGGCCCTGAGAGAAACACAGCAGCTCTAAGCAGCAATCCCTTTGGTAGCAGCAGCTAGCAAAATCCCACTGTCCCCATTCTTGGTAACCTTTGTTCATCTTAGGAATCCACTTCAGGACAATAAGGATCATGGACAGATCTGAAATCTATCAAACCAAAAGTTTCTGCATTGAGGCTGAGGTTTATATTTTCTATTTCCCACGTGTTTGATTTGCACTACAGCTTGTGTGACTGTCTTGTTCTTACACTTCTTTGTAAAAGAAAAGTGGAGAAGAATCAAAAGGTGTGTGAAGACCCTTGAAACCAGTTCTGCTTCACACTTTGCATAGCCAAACATTCTTAGCACATTTAAATACCACTTTGTGTTTAATCACAGCATCGCAAAATCATTTAGGTTAGAAAAGATGTTTGAGTCCAACCGTTCCCCCAGTACTGCCAAGGCCACTGCTGAAAAAGTATCTGTGTCTCTTCTAAGTCCTTCCAGGGGTGGTGAGTCCACTGCTGCCCTGGGCAGTTATGTTGCTGTTAGGTATGGAGAGAGATTTTTGTAGACATACATCTGTCACTATCACTGGGATAGTGTCGCCTGAGTTAAACCTGACAATATCTTAATGTAACCACTCCAAGGTGTCACCTTCAGGATTCATCACTGGGATAGTTTATGTCTCTTCTAAGTCCTTCCAGGGGTGGTGAGTCCACTGCTGCCCTGGGCAGTTATGTTGCTGTTAGGTATGGAGAGAGATTTTTGTAGACATACATCTGTCACTATCACTGGGATAGTGTCGCCTGAGTTAAACCTGACAATATCTTAATGTAACCACTCCAAGGTGTCACCTTCAGGATTCATCACTGGGATAGTTTAAATTAGTTTTGTTTAAGAGAAAGTGGCACAGTGGAGTGTTTTTTCCTGTCAGTGTTGAAAACAAAGGGTGAGATTTGGGGGCAGCACAGTGATGTGAGTCATTTTCCAGGAAAGTATTAACGTGGTTGGATGTGCAGTCACAGAAAACAGTGTTGCTGCTGGTTTGAGAGAGAATGTTAAAAAGGTTCTTTTATGCTTTTTTCTGAAAAAGTATAAAATCCTACAGTCTTATATGTATATATTTAGATCCAGCCTTACTTGGGTAATTCCCAGTTAGGATTTTTTATCCAGGTGCTCTCTTGTGTTTGTTGTTTGTTACAGTGTGTCCTT